GCACCTCCAAATCTGAGGCCATGGTTCTCAGCCGGAAAAGGGTGGAGTGCCCACTCCGGGTCGGGGATGAGTTCCTGCCCCAAGTGGAGGAGTTCAAGTATCTCGGGGTCTTGTTCGCGAGTGATGGGAGAAGGGAGCTGGAGATCGACAGACGGATTGGGGCTGCGGCTGCAGTAATGCGGACGCTGCACCGGTCAGTCGTGGTGAAGAGGGAGCTGAGTGTAAAAGCGAAGCTCTCAATTTACCGGTCGATCTACGTCCCTACCCTCACCTATGGCCACGAGCTGTGGGTAGTGACCGAAAGAACGAGATCGCGGATACAAGCGGCGGAAATGAGCTTCCTCCGAAGGGTGGCTGGCCTCTCCCTTAGAGATAGGGTGAGAAGTTCGGCCATCCGGGAGGGGCTTAGAGTAGAGCAGCTGCTGCTCCACATCGAAAGGAGCCAGCTGAGGTGGTTCGGGCATCTGGCAAGGATGCCCCCTGGGCGCCTCCTGGGCGAGGTGTTCCAGGCATGTCCCACCGGGAGGAGGCCCCGGGGCAGACCCAGGACACGCTGGAGAGATTATATCTCTCGGCTGGCCTGGGAACGCCTTGGTATTCCCCCGGACAAGCTGGAGGAGGTGGCTGGGGAGAGGGAGGTCTGGACCTCTTTGCTTAGGCTGCTACCCCCGCGACCCGACCTCGGATAAGCGGATGAAGATGGATGGATGGATGGATGTAGTTCCATTAAATATGGTCCAAAAGGCAACAGCACAGTGAACAGGCCCAGTTCAGTCATTTAATTTAGCAGAGGTGAGGCCAAGTGACTCTCAACCCAACGCCTATCCATAGAGCTTGAAATAGTTTGTTTTATACGGGTCTGATTTGTATTTACTTGTACAGAGTCACTACTGTATCTTTACAGTGGGGCAAAAAAGTATTTAGTCAGCCACCGATTGTGCAAGTTCCCCCACCTAAAATGATGACAGAGGTCAGTAATTTGCACCAGAAGTACACTTCAACTGTGAGAGACAGAATGTGAAAAAAAAATCCATGAATCCACATGGTAGGATTTGTAAAGAATTTATTCGTAAATCAGGGTGGAAAATAAGTATTTGGCCACCTCAAACAAGGAAAATCTCTGGCTCTCACAGACCTGTAACGTCTTCTGTAAGAAGCTTTTCTGTCCCCCACTCGTTACCTGTATGAATGGCACCTGTTTGAACTCATCATCTGTATAAAAGACACCCGTCCACAGCCTCAAACAGTCAGACCCCAAACTCCGCCATGGCCAAGACCAAAGAGCTTTCGAAGGACACCAGGAAAAGTATTGTAGACCTGCACCAGACTGGGAAGAGTGAATCTACAATAGGCAAGCAGCTTGGTGTGAAAAAATCAACTGTGGGAGCAATCATCAGAAAATGGAAGACATACAAGACCACTGATAATCTCCCTCGATCTGGGGCTCCACGCAAGATCTCATCCCGTGGGGTCAAAATGATCATGAGAACGGTGAGCAAAGATCCCAGAACCACACGGGGGGACCTGGTGAATGACCTGCAGAGAGCTGGGACCAAAGTAACAAAGGTCACCATCAGTAACACACTACAACGGCAGGGAATCAAATCCCGCAGTGCCAGACGTGTTCCGCTGCTGAAGCCAGTGCATGTCCAGGCCCGTCTGAAGTTTGCCAGAGAGCACATGGATGATACAGCAGAGGATTGGGAGAATGTCATGTGGTCAGATGAAACCAAAGTAGAACTTTTTGGTATAAACTCAACTCGTCGTGTTTGGAGGAAGAAGAATACTGAGTTGCATCCCAAGAACACCATACCTACTGTGAAGCATGGGGGTGGAAACATCATGCTATGGGGCTGTTTTTCTGCCAAGGGGACAGGACGACTGATCCTTGTTAAGGACAGAATGAATGGGGCCATGTATCGTGAGATTTTGAGCCAGAACCTCCTTCCATCAGTGAGAACTTTGAAGATGAAACGAGGCTGGGTCTTCCAATATGACAATGATCCAAAACACACCGCCCGGGCAACAAAGGAGTGGCTCCGTAAGAAGCATTTGAAAGTCCTGGAGTGGCCTAGCCAGTCTCCAGACCTCAACCCCATAGAAAATCTGTGGCGGGAGTTGAAAGTCCGTGTTGCTCGGCGACAGCCCCAAAACATCACTGCTCTCGAGAAGATCTGCATGGAGGAATGGGCCAAAATACCAGCTACTGTGTGTGCAAACCTGGTAAAGACCTATAGTAAACGTTTGACCTCTGTTATTGCCAACAAAGGTTATGTTACAAAGTATTGAGTTGTATTTTTGTTTTTGACCAAATACTTATTTTCCACCCTGATTTACGAATAAATTCTTTACAAATCCTACCATGTGGATTCATGGATTTTTTTTTTTCACATTCTGTCTCTCACAGTTGAAGTGTACCTCTGGTGCAAATTACTGACCTCTGTCATCATTTTAGGTGGGGGAACTTGCACAATCGGTGGCTGACTAAATACTTTTTTGCCCCACTGTATGTATAATTGTCTTTTCTCCCCATCTTTTCTTTTCTTAACCTTTATTTTTCCTCTTTCCCTTGCCCATCTATTTTACCCATATTGCGGCCATTTTGCCCTCCCCCCTAATCTTCCTCCTTCCATTCAACTAAACTGTGACTGATCTTGACCAGTTTCAGTTTCTCTCCCAGTTGCATTTCTCCTAACCCAATTTCACCCATGTCCTCCATGCAATCTAAGCCTTTCTCCTCTCACTCTCTCCATTCCTCTTCTCTGCAGAACCCCAGTGATCCCGAGGTTAATTAGCCCTCCAAGTGTCAGGCTGTTAGATCCCCTGCTTGGTGTCCTGTGATTGGCTCAGTAGGTGTAGTAAGAAGCTTGGGCACCAGAGTTTGGTGCCGGTATAAAGACAGGAATAAAAAGAGAAGAGGATTGCCAGAATGTGGACAGAAGAACTGAATTGAATTTAGGGAAAACTGATTAGAATAAACAAGACTACATGTAAAGCCACATTATTTAGAAATACAGAGGCACTTTTAAAGGCTGAGAATGCACTGAGGAGCGAGTGAGTAGTGAAAGATGGGGAATGAGTGAGCTGCTTTGGCTCAGGAGGTAGAGCAGCTCATCTACTAATCGGAAGGTTGGTCAATTCCTGCTTCAGGCTGCATGCCAAATATCTTCAGCAAGATACTAACTCCCAAGTTGTTTTCCAACTTCGGGGGTTATGTACGAATGTTAGATAGTAAACACTTAGGTAGGAAAGCATAGAAAAAAAGTGTTTATGTCAATGTGTGTAAATGGGTGAATGAGGCGAGTTGTATGAAGCACGCTTAAGAGCAGAAAATGCTAATAATGGAGTATATAGGAGGAGAAGGGCTGCAACAATTCATTGCATAATTTGAATACTTCAATTGCAAAATAATTCTCAACACAAATTCTCTGCTTCGATGCTTCCTTTAACACATGGCTCCGTAGCGTCACCATGGAGACACGTTTGCAGCTAAAACACCCCTGCAATATAAACGCATTTAGGAGCAGCGTGACAATAAAACTTTGACATTAAGGGCAAACACACTGATAACACAACAGCAGAGATGATGATGATGATGGTGTCAAAGTTTAACGTGGAGCCAGAGTCTGTTTACACACCGTGAAGAGCAAAGCGGCGGCGGCGGCGCCATCACCAAGACTGAGTGAAAGAAAACATGGTTCTAGCGTCCTAAACAGCAGCACTGTTCCTGTGATCACCACTGAAGGTCAATTGATATGCCTTAGGTTAGATTCCATGTATATCTTATTTTATTTTGACTTTGGCTCTATTTGAGATTATTTATATGTTTTTGCATTTAAGAAAATATTTTCTTTAAAAAATGTAATTTGATTGTATTTACGTGCCATTTTAAAGGGTTAAGTTGTTTTCTTTTTGTTTTCGACAGCTGTTTGCTCTAAAAAACTGCAATTTCTAAAAATGGAAACCAACGAGTAGTTCATTTTGAAAAACCTGTGTGTTCATTAATAAGAGAACAGCATTTCTTATCCGATTACTCGGTTAATCGATGGAATTATCGATACATTACTTAATTACTAAAATAATCAACAGCTGCGGCCCTAGCAAGCAGCACAGTCTCGGTCGTTGTGTCCTTGGGCAAGACACTTCACCTACCGCCTACTGGTGATGGCCAGAGGGGGCGATGGTGCGATATGGCAGCCTCGCTTCTGTCAGTCTGGCCCAGGGCAGCTGTGGCTACAACTGTAGCTGCCTCCAAGAGTGTGTGAATGTGAGAGTGAATGAATAATGGAATTGTAAAGCGCTTTGAGGGCCCCGAAAAGTGCTATATAAATGCAACCCATTATTATTATTATTATTATTATTATTATTATTAAAAAAAAAAAGAGGTGATTGACATCTGAAAGGAAGGAAAGAAAAGCTGGTGATGGGAGACTGAAGCAGAGGAAATAAATGAGGGGAGCTGCTGAACTGATGGACAAGACATGGAAATGAGAAACACTCAACAGAAAAGGCTGTGAGGACAGGAAGGGAGAAGAAAATGGATAGAGAGGACAAAGTCACGATTGTGACTGCAAAACACAGCCTGAATGAAGCAATGTTTGAAATCATTATTACTATAATGCTCGATATGAGGATAAATACTGAAAATATTCTCTAGTCTAATAGTTTCCAACAGCAACACTGGAGCGATACAATCTAGATGAATTAATTGGTGACAATTCAGTGCCAACATTCACAGGGATTTTGAGTAATGTTTGCATATTATTTATGGTCTAATAGTGCTGATGGGCTGATGAAAAATCATGTCAAGAAAGCATGCATCAGATCAATGAGCACTCCGGTGATATTTATTTAAGTGCAAGTCATCTCTTATGACAGCAGCACATTAAGAGCATTATGTGGACAAGCTGGAGACCATCATTAAGATATTAATGGAAGGCTTAATTATACCCAAGTGTTCTTGGGTATTTTATGTGTAGAGAGGGAAGGTGGGTACACACCACACTGAAGTCCAGATTCTGTTCAATCCACTCCTGGCCATCCTTGAACTCCTCGTGCAGACCCATGATGTACAGAGTATCTACTGCATCCACGATGGTTGCCCCCAGTTGAGAACTACCTGTACAACACACAAGATCAAACAATTGAAATTCTTCCATCAGTTATTGCTCATATGAATATTTATTTATGCAATTAACAGTGACATTGGTTTTACATCCATCAGAGGCTCTCCCAAAGACGCATGCATGGAAAAAGCTGCAAACTGTACACAGTGCAAGAGATGCACTGAACTTATTAAGAGAAAGTGAAAAGTCAGTGCAGATAACAGTTGGATCTATTTTCTACAAAGATTTAGTCTGTGCAGCGTTATCGCTCCAACAACGATGATTTACCCCTAACCTGAGGATAAGCACGTCACATATCGCACTACTCAGTCCAAGAGGCCTGCATGTGTGTTGCTGTTCTTTGCCTCTGTTGACAACAGTTCATCCAGTCCACTTTAAACTTGCTTTACTGATTATTTTGTGTTTTTGGAGTGTAAGCCTGTGTACGTCTTTGACAGGACATTCACTGATCACATGGTCAAGATAATTTTCTCTCTGATTAGCCACCGTCTCATTTGGCATTAGCATTGTTCTTCAGGCTCGCTCAATGGGTTTGTCTTTATTAGCACCAAACCCTGTAGCTTTCCTTTTTCCAAAGTACTAACAATTTGTGTGTCTGGTGGCTTTTAGAAAAACTGTGTGTGTGGCGTTAACTGAAATTTGTCAAATATAGCTACAATTACACACTCTACTCTCGCTTACGTTACTTATACTGTAAATTAGTGTGTTTAACTTTAATATAATTAATTTATTACTTAAAGTATGCTTACATTTTTGCTCAATTTACTGTGAATACAGAACAGGCTTGCTGCTGCTGTAAATGTACAGCTTTAAATCAAATCATTGGACATAATTACATCAACCCAGACAGTAGTTACATTTAAAATGTTTATAATACTTCAAATAAATAGTCGGATGCGCATTTACAGCCACAAGCTAACATGACAATAGCTTGTGACATTGACACACCACCACATAAACATTCTGAACAACAAACCAATAAAAAAAAAATCCCTCTCACCCAGTTCAAGATGGATCTTTTAAAGCTAATCAGAACTCAGATCATTGAAATCAGCAAAAAGTAGACAGTTAAAAAAAAAAAATACCAAGAAGCCAAGGAAGCTGCAATCAGTGCATTTCTAATAAAAAAAAGAAAAGAAAGAAGGAAAATAAAAAAAACAGAACTTAAAACTGTTGAATTAATATTTTCAGAAAGATATGGAGTGGCCAATCAATGGGCAAAAGCATTCAGCCAAGGCGAATGGTAGCAACCATAAAAAATGATCAGTTTGCAGCCACAGGAGCAGCTCTGTGTGTTTGTCTGTTATTCAGTGACATTTTAAAATGTTTTTCCTTTGCTAATGTGTGTTCATATAAAGCATGTCACAGTAGGACTAATTCAAACACATTGCCACATTTCATTGCCTTTTCCATTCTGAGGAGGAGACTAGTAATCATAAGACATTACAGGAACAGGGAACTGCTTATTATAAGTTATTAAAACTGACTTTGTGCCTATAAGGTTCAACTTTATGTAAATCAAAACCCTCCTTAGAAATTAAAGTGAAAAAAGGAGTTATAGGATATTATAGGAAATATCATCAAAATGACTATTTCATCAGATCATCTACACCCTTTCTACTATTGCCTTCCAGTTTGCTTTAGTTCGGTTTGCATACATTACCACCATATTTCAGAGGTAAAAGTCAGTGGCACTGCCCTTTAAAGCCGTCCCCATTTCATATCAGAAGCTGCGTGAACAGCTAGAATTCCTGAGTCTGCTCGCCATCCCTTCTTATCTATGAATCCATTCAAAAGGAGAGTGTCTGGCTTCATGCAGGAGCTGCAGTGTTATTATCATCATAGACAGGAACCTCTAAATCACTCTAAAAATACACTGCAGTCAGGCGGGCGGAGCTGATAGCAAGATGCCCTGGCTGCCTGCCGGATCTTGACAGATTGGCGCGACCGTTGGTAGAGCAGAGCCCCTCTGCTGCACCACACAACCCCCATCTCCCTCCCTTCTGTCACTTCCATCACCTACAGGTACGCTTGAGGCTCCCATAGCAATGTGACACTGCTGACGCAAAGACAGAGGCCTGTCAAAGATACCGTCTCAGAATACTCCTCTAAAGGTCTTGTGCAATAGCTCCTAAATGCAGTGCTTCCTATGTGTTCACAACAATGACACCTCTGCTCTGTCAATCATTAACACTGTTGTGTTGTGAAGCAAATGAAATGTGACACTAACATTTTATATACGGACCTGTTTTCTTCTAAAACAACAAAAGGGTATCAAACCTCTTGTCTATGGTCCAGAAAAGAGGATTTTAATACCAAAAGGAGTTTTGGTGTTTATCAAACATCTTGAACAGAAGACATCCCAGACAACGTATGTTGTGTTAAAATGTCTTGGATTTGAAGATAACAATTTGGGTATTGATCCAAATAGAAATAAAATAGCCCTTAAAATCCTCTGTAAGTGATTATTCAATCCTTATGTTCATGACAAAACCTGCAAGTGATACTTCAAAGAACTGGAAATACTGTAGAGTCTTTACCTTACAATATAAAGCACCTTGAGGTGACTGTTGCTGTGAATTGGTAACATATAAACAAAAAGGATTGGACTGGATTAACTGATTGGGGACAAATTGCCCTTCTGTATGTAGAGCAGAAGATCTTAGCGAAAGGCTTTTTTCTTTGTTCATTTTTAAAAACTCCAACTTCTCACGTAGTGAAGGTGTTCTCTGGGTTTTTCACCTCGTCCGCCAACATGAAAACCAATGACAGCGGAGCATTTCTTTGGCCAATCCAATCTAGCAACAAGCTCATCAAATGAATCACCCTCCATCTTCTAATCCCAACTCCAAATTCAAAGCAAAAGAAAATTTAAATGTGCAGATTACTTATGCGTATCCGCCGGACTCTTCTGGGTGCGTTTCTCTAACCTTGAGAAATTCTGCTCGCTCTCATCTTTGGAAATAACCTTGTTATCACACCTGGAAAGTTTCTCTCTCCAGCTCAGCCTCCATCTTTTCGTCTGCCCCTCCCTCGTATACCGAACCATCTGCTTGTGCTCATTCATCACTGTCTTGCTGCGTTCTCCCTAATCTTTCCTTGATCGCTCCATTCAGAACCCAGATTCGCGAACAATCCATTCCCGCTTTTTTACATATACATCTCATTAAAAAATTTATTTTTTGTTAATTTGACTCAACATCTTTCCCTACGAACGGTCACCATGCATCTTCCTGTATCATCTCTGTCATGTCCTGTTGCCATGGGTTTTCACGACCTGACTGCTCTGCAGCCTTGATATAAACAACACCAAAGGCATCACATGAAGTTGAATTGGTGCTTCCAGGAGTTGATTTTAGGGTTGCCAGGCGCTGCTTATCAGAGACAAATTGGCCGGGATGACGTTTATTTATTCAGGGAATTATTGCCACTGCCTCGTGCACACAGACCTCGCCAGCTGCAAACCAACACACACTCTCATCAGGTCTCCTGCTCTTTTAACATAGATTCATGTACTCTCCCTTCCCTTTGATACACCACACAGCTTCTCACTACTTCAACTGAACTCCACCCCCCACTCTTCAACATGCTCTCTCCATCTATCACAATTTCACACACCTCTCTCTCCCTCTCCCCCTCCATTATCTCTCTCTCCCTCTCTCGAACACTCACACTCTCCGTCCCAGGCTCCGTGCCGGTTTCATTAGACGACAGGTTTCAGAGGCATGAATTCACACGAGGCACGAAAACGTGATGCCATTATTCAGTCTCCATTCTCCCTGTCTTGTAAACTGTCGGCTCAGGGAGAGTGGGAGATGATTGAGAGCTCAGGTGTGTGTGTTTGTGCGTGTCATGCATAAATTCGCTTGGTTTGGCTCTGAATCGAATGAAAATGGAAGAAAGTGTAGAGGTGATGTGTGGAGATACATACAAAGCATTTGTGTTTCAAGCGTCCGTGTCGTGCCTTGTGTTTCTTATCATGACCTCTACACAACTCTGTGGACATGCAGGTCTAGTTGCAAGTCTACTCTTCTTACTCCTGTACAGACTATTTCTCCCTAACATCCAGGGCTGCCCTCCGAAAGCTGAAGTCAGAGATCCCACATTTAAGTTGCAGTGTGTTTGAGGACGTGTGATGAAGCTGAAATCTGAGGTTTAAGTGTTACCAGAAGAGCCGTTCCCTTTAACAAATCTCTGTATGATGCTGCGTTTACTGACCTACAAGAAAGTAAATAAGGGTCTGGTTCTTGCCAAATTATGAGACCCTTCCTCCCTTCAGTAGAGAAGAGCTGATCCAAACAGAACAAGCTGACAACGTACCATGCTGCTCGAAGCCTGGTACATTTAAATGTCGGAAAAAGTTTTTAAAATTCTAAATGCAAACTCTGAGGAAGAGCTACTCCTACTACTACAACAAACAGGAAATGTGTCTAGTGTTCCACACTGCTGAATCTAAATAACACGTGTTATAGGTGCTTGTTATTCCAGGAACTCATTAAGATAGATGGACACATCAGCCATCTATTTTAATTAACATTGCAGCTAGAGAAGTGCAGGTCATGAAATATTAAGCCGTGGAAGTGCCGAATGCAGCCACATGTAGAACGAGGCAGGCTGTGCAAACAGAGCACTAGGGGAACTATGGGTGAACTGAATAGAGAGTCTAGAGTGTGGAGAACTAATCCGAGCAAATAAAGAGTAAAATTAAGAGCAGAGCAGCAGGATTATGCCGGTTTCAGGACTGAAGAGCAGAGATGAAGATGTGAAGAGCTGCAGAATGAGGTGGGATCAGTGTGAACAGTGAGAGGTTGCAGGCAGACGTAGACAAAATCAGAAACTTTAACTTTTCTGATTTGTAAAATGAATAAATCCTCTAAACTTAATCTTAAATACCAGTGTTTTAAATCTAACTTATAATTTGGAAATTATTGTAAAAAGTTATGTAAAATGAACAATTTTACATTTACAGGAAATGCCTTTTGTTGCCACTACG